CTGAAGGACAAAAGTGGAACACATTGAATCACATAGCCAGTTAGTTAGTGATCCAAAAAGAAAAAGAAAAGAAAAAGAAAAGAAAAAAAAGATTATTCTTGAATGGCAAAAGAATCGTGAAAAGATTTTAAAAAAAGTACAAAAACAAAACGCAAAAGGCTCAAGAGGGAATTGAACCCTCGATCTTCGGTTTACGAGACCGACGCCTTACCACTTGGCCATTGAGCCAACCACACGCCAGTTTACTCTTCCCTGAACCAAATTGATTGCCAGTATTTCATAACTTCTTTTTTTTTTTTTGTGGGTCGGCCAGATGTTTACTGCCACTGTATAAATCATACGTAATGACTGATAGAATGCTACACCTGTGAAGTAAAAGAAAAAAAGGCCCAACCCTGCCCTGCCAGCTATTTGGGCTTACGGGGGGTCGCCATGGCAAATAATAATATTAAAGAACTAAAGACTATAAAATTAATGACGGGAAGTGCCAGCTTCGGCAGCAACTAGGGAGGCAGAAGAAGAGACAGGTGCATGTACAGCGAAAACAGAGCGGCTACCACGCAGGCACATGACACTCGCTCTGAGCAACGCAAAGCTAAGGCGGCAGCGGATGAATGACATAACAACCAAATACGGTTCGCCGCTTTTCTCAGCAATGAGAGATGCAATTCGCTTGTAAAGTGAGGCAGATTGCTTGCCCATGCCACCGGTTGTCGAGAAGACCAACGGGACAAATGAAGCATGCTCGATCTCCCGCAGCCTCTCTTCATACGATCTCTTCTTCGCTTTCTCATGGCGAACGTAGGTGGCAGAAATGGAGGAGGACTGGTTCGAAGACGCAAAAGGGTTGAACACCCGGACGTCGAAGAAGGTGCGTTCGAACCGCCCTCCCCACACTCCATTTGCTGCTACGTCCAAGCGAGCCTGGTCGTCGCGGATGGCGGTGCGATAGCGCAGCTGCTCCCCACTCAGGGGCTCCAGATGAGGCTCTACAGATACGTTGGTGGCAACACGCTATAAAGAAACCAGCGCTCACATCGCGGATCTCGTTATGCCTGATGGTAGGGTAACCGCCGGTGGGGCACGAGAGGGCATGGGCCACAGTAAACTGGCTTCCACAAACGCACCCTGATGGCATGCGCTGTGGTTGCCAGTTGTACCTTAGGTGCACTCCATCGCGAAACTCCGCTTTGGAGAGGGCAAATCCATGGCGCTTCAAGGGCCTGCAGGTCAGCCAACTGGAAGAGCCCTTCTCCGCAGCCAGGTCGATTACACGCTGCTTGGCCTCCGGCACACTGGAGCGGAGCAGCAGGGCTTGGGCTTTGACAGCATTCCGTGCTGTTATCCTCACCTCCGCCTTGGCAGTACGAACGAGACTGGTTGCAGAGCCGAGCGCCATAGTCTGCAGCTTGATGTTGGTCTGCAAGGACTCAGTCACCCTTCGCGATGCATCATACTGGGATGCGAGATCCACGGGATTGCCCAGCCCGAGCCCTCCGTGACGACATGGAAGCGCAAGAATTGACCTTTCCTCCGAGTTGACAATATGGCCGGTAAGAGCGGGGATGAGCCTCTCCATTAGCAGCTTCTCCACAGGCGTCAGAGCAGCTGCAGCTGTTGGTGTGGTGCGGCAGAGGAAAGACCACTTATTCTGCAGGCCTTGGGTGAGTGCAGCGTATGCAGCTTGTGGTTGCGTTTCTGCATACGAGGACAACTTCTCCACGAGGTTGAGCCATCTTGTTGCCTTCTGCTCAACAAAGCTATCCAGGAACGCAGGCGTACCAATAGCCGAACCCAGGTACCGGCAACCATCGACGCGGATGTCAACTCCAGTGTCGGCGAACATCTCCACTGCTCGATCATAATGCTCCGGTTTAACCAGGAGAACCGACTTGGACGGGTTGAGATGATAGCCGTAGGCAGGACCTTGCTCTGTTAGGCTATGCCACCATGCACGCAAAGGCATCAGCTTGCCACCTGCTCCTGAGTCATCAGCAAACCAGGCTTGCAGAGTATTTGCAGTAGAGACTGACTGCAGCAAAGGAAGAACACCGAGAGCATAGAGAGGCATTGCAATCGGGTCCCCCTGCGTGGTACCTTCGGAAGAGAGGATGACTTCTCCACCGACAAAGAGCTGTGCGGGTTGCCTGTAAGTGTTGATGACAACTGGTGACATGGCTGGACAAAGATGCTGGATGTTCTGCAGATATACAGCACGATTCAAGCAATTGAACGCGTTTGAGGCGTCTGCTAGAAGGAGGCCTTCCGTTTCGTCATCTGCGAAAACTTCTCTCATGGCATGAATAGCGGCTTCTACTCCACACTCGTGACCGGCACAAAGCTGTAGGCTGCCGGCTGCTTCCAGGATGTCGTCTCGCAGAAGGCTGAGGATGGCTTTGCCCACAATCCGCCTTAAAACCTCCCCTATGCCGATGGGCCTGACTCCCGGTTTTTTGTCCAATGGGATTAGGCGACATGACGTGTAGGCTTGCAGTGACCAGGGGTCTGCCATGGATGTCGCCAAGCGCCTTGCACATGAGGCCACCGCATCACAAAGGTCGTCTGACGCAACACCAAATCCGGTGCACATTCGTCTCCATGTGTCGGCATCCACTCCAGAGGGGCCTGCTGCGCCATGGGTGCTGAGTGCAGCCCGGCGAACAACATCTCGAGTGAGTGCTTCGAACCGTACGGGGTGTGGTGGTGCTGGAGGTGTGCCGGGAAGCACGGCGGCCGGTTGGGTTGGTTCGGCAAGGGGGTGCTTTTCCACTAGGATATCTCTGACTGGCCTGTCGCCAATCCTGTCATCCAGGTCAAGTATGCCTCCCGAGGTGTCATCATCCAGATATTGCAGTGCTGCACCCAGTTTGCCGTCGGTCACAAGCGAAGCAAACCGTCTGGCATTATCGGTGGTGATCCTGTCCCGTTGCGCCTGTTGCTTTCATAACTTCTGCAATCGAAATGCAAGCAACTGTATAGGGGCCATCCGTAAATAAAGATATTTTTTCAAGACGATATTTGTTCATTTCTCCTCCCCCCCCCCCTCAAAACGAACACACACACACACACACACACACACGCGCGCGTTTATGCAGGGGATCGATATTTTTTAATAAAATGCAATCTCCTTGTGAAACGTCACCAACAGCAACTCTAAATTCACTGTACACTGTCATTTACATCAGCATGGTCGCACAAACTTGCCATGGCTATAGTCATGAGGTGACTTTCATTTTGTGTAGGTCATCTATCAGCTTCATGTTTTCACAGTGCCCGCCCACATCTAGAGATCGATATTTTCTTCACGAAGACGATACGAACAGGGACCCTCCCCGCTCCCCAAATGAACCAAAATCTTCTCTAAAAAAATATTGATATTTGTAGAAGACCCCTAATACCAAGAGTGCATAAACAAGAGTATGCAACTGTGGTTATGGGTCCGTGCACGGCGCGCTGCCTTTATTACGTAACTTGCCTCCATCAAGCTCTGAAAGCATGCACTCAAACCCACAATTTCTCGTACAAGCACATCCGTTTTGCTCGATTCGTTCCAGTGCCTACGCGATCTCTAAATGTTGGCGCGTGAGCCCCAGTTCCGTACAAAAGTTCATTTCAAACCAGAGGGAAAGTGTGGTGTTTGATTTTCCGCAGTGCACAGACTGCAGCTGAATGATGTAATGAAGGCAGCGCGCCGCGCATCTGGCCCATAGAAAATAGATCACAGTTGCATATGTTCATGAACTCTTGCGAATACTCATTAATGAATAGCAAAAAAGAGGCTCAAGAGGGATTCGAACCCTCGATCTTCGGTTTACGAGACCGACGCCTTACCACTTGGCCATTGAGCCAAGCGCATGTTTAGATGCTCTTCGCCCAGACAGATTGTTTGAGCATGCAATTTCTGATCGACAAACAAGCAAAGTACAGGTCGTCCCCCGTTAATACGAGTCCGGTTAGTACATAAACCCCGTTAGTACATAAGAAATCTCAAGTCCCGGACGAAACGTGGTCACTTCCATACAAATTTTGTCGGTTAGTACATAATTCGTTAGTACATAACATTTCTCCGTACCCGCATGCCACCTACCTCAATAGTACATAATTTGTTGGTCTTTTGGCCTTCCAGTGGAGGCACGTCGTGTTTTTTTTTTTTTTAATTCTAGTTTCTACTTGTGGACACAATTAGCTCAGAAATCAGAGCGCACATCACAAACCGACAAAGCTCTGTTTTTTTTCGAGTGACTGTACAGGCGCGGCTGGGCATGTAATGTATCATGTAAACTGTAGAATCTTCGCTGACTGTGACCGTTATAACAAAAATGTTATGTTATATCGAGGGAATCAAGAATATCTCGCTCCCTAGTCTAGTCATGGCAGCAAGAAACACTCAGAAAAGTTGAAAAAAGTGAAAAATTCTGGTATACAAGCAAGTTATGTACACTTTCGTTTAGTACATAAACCCCGTTAATACATAACATTTGTCAAGTCCCAGAGATTATGTATTAACGAGGGACGACCTGGAGTTGAGTACATGTGGCAGGACATACAAGTATTTCCATCTATCGTTCTCGAAAAGTCCTCTTCCCAAATTTGAGCTGCCACGTGACCTGTGCTTTTCAACGACTGCTCCTGTAAACGCACGCATCTCGCGACCGGAGCTCTCCAAGACTACACTTGGCCGCGTTCACACTGTACCCGATGAAAACAAACCCCAGGTCAACTGTCAGATATCGAGGTTCAATGGCTATAACTTGGTGTGCAACAACAACAACAAAACTGCATACAGTGCGTGCGTGCTGTGCTTCTTCATCTACAGTCCATTCATCGGAAACTGTCCCGCTGGCTTTTGAAAGTCCGATTCGGGCCAAATTGAGGATCAAAACCCACTTAAAATCTCAAAAATCTGGGTTTTGGATCTGCTTCTCCACACATTTTGCCATGGCATACCTGTCCCAATTTTGTAAAACCTGCCTGAATTTCTATTTCCCTGTTCTTGGACT